TATTTGCAATCAGGTGAACTTCCCCTATAACCCCCCTCCCCCCCTTCCATCCACACCTTTTTTTTGTACGCGGGGGATGCCAAACTAAAATTTTCCCCCAAAAGGTAATGTGTAAAATCGCGTCGACAAAAGTTTCCGTGTATAAACACAGTCTTTGCAACCTTATATGAATTCGCCGTGGCTACAACTCTAGTGCTGAGTTATAGGAAATTTACACGAGGCGATTTTTCAGGCGATTTTTAGTTGAATGCAACGGTAGTAGTGCACTTTGGCGAAGGTAGGTCAAAATGGACGGAAAAAGTTCGAGCGTGGTATCAATCGACGCGTCTTAACGCCAATAATAACAATCCGAGACCGGAAATTAACATTTTTAATTAAATAAAGAGTTATTTGCAAAAAACACTTACACTTTCCGCACTATGCTTTGATGAATTTCACGCAAATGAATGGAATAAATGAACTTAATTTAACACGTATTTATTAGTTTTTATACATTTGTGATGTTTTAAGTGTACACTTTCGCGAAATTCTGTATTTAATAGCAATATTCCGATGGTGAAAATCCGCACAACAATCTTGTGTAGTTAATATAAATAAGATGGAGGAAAACTAGTGCTGCCACTCTATTAATAGAATTTGTATTTCCACTTTAAAAATACCCAAACTTTTGTGCAAAGGGGATTTCTGTTCCTTTTCTTCGCACGCAGAAAGGAGAATTCTATGTTGTGAGGGTTATAATCCCTAAGCGCGGCCGAAGGCCGCCTACGCAGAAAGGTGTTCTCTGCAAAAGGTGTTCTGCCCCTTTTCTTTGGCAACACAGAAAGGAGAATTCTACGTTGTGAGGGTTATAATACCTAAGCGCGGCCGAAGGCCGCCTACGCAGAAAGGTGTTGGACGTACAAAAACTTTTTTAATACAGTGGCTGCAGCAATTTAGTTCCATTTTATTTTTAATAGAGTGGCAACACTAGTTTCCCTCCATGTTATTTATATTAACTACACAAAATTGTTGTGGGGATTTTCACCATCGGAATATTGCTATTATATACAGAATTTCGCGAAAGTGTACACTTAAAACTTCACAAATGTATAAAAACTAATAAATACGTGTTAAATTAAGTTCATTTATTCGATTAATTTGCGTGAAATGCATCAAAACGTAGTGCGGAAAGTGCAAGTGTTTTTTTGCAAATAACTCTTTAATTAATTTAAAATGGTAATTTCCGGTCTCGGATTGTTATTATTGGCGTTAAGACGCGTCGATTGATACCACTCTCGAACTTTTTCCGTCCATTTTGACCTACCTTCGCCAAAGTGCACTACTACCGTTGCATTCAACTAAAAATCGCCTGAAAAATCGCCCGCTAAAAGCAAAAACAAAATACAAGTAATTGTTGTATTTGTTGAATCGATATCACCTTATATGTATTCGCCTTGGTCGGCTGCCCAAGAATGATAGAATACAAGATTGCGCCGATTGCAGCAGAATTCGTGAGAGTAATTTTAGCGTGACGTCATCGTAGAGTTGACAACTGAGAGCAGCGAGAATGAGGGCGACTAGTGATGTGCTGAATTGTCCCCAATACTCGGTACCCAATACTTGAAAAAGATTTCGGTACCCTATACTTCCTTTTCGGTATCCGATACCGATTATTTACATTAAATCCTCGCCATTATATGCATTTCAGGTTTAGAAAAAACTTTCTTTACTAATTTATATTATATCGGCTAAAACACTTGAACTTATCGCCACAGAAAAATATTACTTTATCAGTTTTAACCTTAGTCGATCCAAGGTTCAAGAAAAATACTTTGACGGATGAAGAAGCCTTTCAGGGGTGATATTCTGTAGCCAGTTAGCGACAAGTTTCGGATCGATATCGCACTTGTTGACTTACAAATATTTGATATCAAACGTCGACAAAACCGATACCGATTCGAAAATCGTCGTTAACTGGTTACAGAATCTGTCCCAGGCCTACAAAAATGATATCGTCCGATTCAGCTGGAACAAAAATGCTTCAAACAAGTAAGGATTTCTCTGTGTTATGGCATCGAACCGACATATATACATCTTTCATTTGAATCAGTAAAAAAGCTCTATTGGCTCTTACATGCGGGTTTTGTTAGGCGTTTTTTCCATATTTTTGGCCTATGTGCGCTTTTATTCGAAACCTAAATGTTTCTGTACCGAGTATCGACAGTATTGGGTACTTAAAAGTATTGACTCAGCACATCACTACTACTGTCTTCTCTACTATGACGTCACCAAAACACCTGATTCTGTCAAAATCACTGACATCCATGGTACAATAAACACAGGTAGAAGCCAAATTGACATCAAACCTACAAAAGTCAAAGTTTTCGGGAGAGTAAAAATAAAAATGAGCGTGTGTAAGGAAAAATAAAAAATTACATTTCGCTGGTTGACGTTTTTGAGTAAATTTGAAGTTTTGTTTTTATTTTTTTTTTCTTTAGTTAAAATTTGTTAATTTGTATCATGATAAAAACATTACAAGGTAAAATCATTGAGAGGCAGTCTGACGTTTGCCAACAATATAATTTTAAAATCAAAACTCAAACTCACACACACATTCTCATTTTCAATCTCAAACAACAACAATTGTGAACAATTTAATTTTTTTATTTTCAATTTTATATGATTTTAAAATGTTGGCAAACGTCAGAAAAAAATCATGGCCGACGAATTGAGAGAATGGTTTTACCTTCTAATGTTTTTATCATGATTTGTATGTTGTTTTTTGTTTTTAATTTATGAGTAGAAGGGACTTTCCGGCATAAGGGTCATAGGAACAGCACTTGGTATCAAAAGTGCCTTTCCTGTACCTCCCGGTGCATTTATGAAATCTGCTGCTTTAAAATGTTTAACGCACAGCAAGGCATTTCGCTGCAGTTCTGCCCCAAAGCTGTTTTCGCAACGCTCTTTACGCGAAGGACATTGAGGCACGTTAAAAACAATTAGTGGTATCTGCTTCATATTTAAAACCACATAAAAAACAACGCTTCAGGTGTTGCATTTTTACACATACACTATGTATAAACCGCACAACACTACTCAAATTCACATGTTAATTAAAATTTGTTATTAACGAACATGAAAAAAAAAAAACGATACGACATTCAAAGCGTAACGAAATATAAGAAATAAAAGAAAAACAAGTTGAAGTTTAAAGGTTTGGTTCTAATGAGAGCAACGTCATTTCGGCTTCTACCCATGATAAAAACATAACAAGGGAAAACCATTGAGAGGCAGGCTGACGTTTGCCACCAATATAATTTTAAAATCAAAACTCAAACTCACACACACATTCTCATTTTCAATCTCAAACAACAACAATTGTGAACAATTTAATTTTTTTATTTTCAATTTTATATGATTTTAAAATGTTGGCAAACGTCAGTCCAAAATCATGGCCGACGAATTGAGAGAATGAATTTACCTTGTAATGTTTTTATCATGCTTCTACCTGTGTTAATGTGCCTTGCACCGTGTCAGCTGCCTACTTTCATTCAACCAATCGCCTGTGTAAGTTGAATCATGTAAATTCCCTATTACCCATCACTAACGTGCATCTCCAGATGCGGTATCACAAAAAATAAACTGAACCACCCGACTCAATTACCTGGCATATAATTATTCCATAAGTAAATGCGAAATCACAGCATTTTTCTAAATAGGATACATCCGATTTGCTTAACGTAACAGAAAGCGTCATACTGAATTTGAGTTAAGTCGAACTTTTTTAACTACGATCGGAATTTACAAATATAACTAGGGATGAAACGATACCATGCAGGTATCGATACTTTTATTTAGAAGTAGTATCCACTGTTGCCAGCTTCTGCTTTTCGTATTAACGGCCATATTCTAATAAAACCTCACAACTGAGTTGTGAGCAAAAATGTGTGAGATTTATTATGAGGTCTATTTTGTGAGGTTATTCTTGCCCACACCTCATAAGAAACAAGCTCAACAAAATTACCACACGAGGTGAAAAGCTTTTTACTGTCTAACAGCTGTTTCGTAAATAAAATATATACAAAAGATGGATCTGAACAACAGGAAATGTAAATATTTTTGCTATTTGTTTATTTTTTTAATAATTACTGATTTTATTTATTTTCTAAACGGATTTAAAAATAAATAAAGCAGGAGTAGCTCCAGTACTTCACACAGTTAGCGAACCACAACTTGGTGCAAACGTTTGTAGAGAAATGAAATCCTATGCCTGCTCTAACTCTTCCGAAACTGCCGCAAAAACAAACAATAACTCCGCCATTAATGAATATACTTTTAGTTTAAAAAAAAAATTAACACAGACACTTCAGGCGAACGAAAATTAACAAAGCATTATTCAATTGCTCAATAAAAATCGGCTGTTTTTCACTTGTGAGGGTCTCATTCGTACATCATAAATTTTCTGACAATTGTGAGCGTTTGAGCTTTCGAATTTACGCCTGCATAGGGATAACCTAACAATAGTCAGAAACCTCACAATGGTGAGTGTGGTGAGTTTTGTGAGGGGAACAGGATAGGGCTGTAAATTTACTGCTTAAGACCATGATCCAACTACACAAGATCTGACAAGATGAAGCAAAAGAAAAAAGTAATTTTCTGGCTGACGTTTTTAGTTTCGGCGCCATGTTATTTTGTTTCAAAAGTAAACAAAGAATATGAAGACGAAGCATAGAGAAAAAAATGCGACCAATTTTGCAGCACATGTTTGTGCTAATTAATGTATTATTTTGTACGTGTATTTGCACCCAATCACCGCGCACTTCATTTTAATTACATTTGCACAAATAAATTATTGAAAATCGCCTCAAAATCACTGAAATAAACCACCGACAAAATAACATAAAGAAAGGAGCAAAACAGAAAAACGTCACACACTTTTTTCTCAATTGCTATTACAAATGGCTGCTTCTCAACCGGTCAGATCTGTTCTAATTGGTTCATCGCTTAAGACTATGTTCAAACAGCCCAATTAGCTGAGGGAATTAAGCTTTAGATTTCGGTATTGAGTTTGGTTTTCACACACACGTCAGCTGCCCAATTAGCGATACGAAATCAGCTGTTGATTACCTACAGTGATGGAAAAGTTGTTACAATCGTACCTTTATTTAGTTTGAAAGTACATTCGGTAAAAACACACAATTATAGGTAAATTTGGAAGTTAGCCAAATAGCTTCTCAGGAAATCAGTTCTTATTTTTACTGACATTTCAATGCATTTTCTGGTGCAGGCAACTGGTGTAATAGCTTCCCTCCTTTGTGAAGAGGCATACAAATGATATAGAAGGGTGGTCAAAGTAACGCAACTGTAGTTGATTTCGCCAGATAGATGCAAAATATTTCTTTTTAAAACGTCAGATCGAACAACTAGCAGGAAAGTGATTCACCTTTTCTACAACATAGTTTTGTCTCGCGCTGCTCCAAGAGATTCTTTTCATAGCCCAAAATTTGTTTAATGTGAATAAAAAGTTGATATGGCATCGATTGTTAGCTCCTATTTTTCTTTATAGCTTAGTATCCAGCTCTTAAAAAAACGGTCAAGAAAAAATTGCCATTATTTCGCGTGTGTGCCCAAGGAATTTTGACATTTTTGATAACGCACAGTCTGTTGCCTCACTCTTTCCTCAAGAAATAATGGAACGGGCATATATTTCTGTTGCAAACCTGGGTTGCCTTGTGCTCTTTTTTCACAAAAAACTTTAGAAAACCGTAGTAGAAAGCGTACTAAATTTCTGAAGAACTGCGTACTGCCTTAAGAAAATTTGACTCAAGAAAATTTCTTAGCCATTTCTTGTACGTCATTTTATATGGAGTTTTTGCTTTTCTTAAGAGCTGGATACTAAGCTTATATATAAATGCATATTTACTTTTTAGGTACATCTATCTACTTTTAGGTAAAGATTCCGTAAATTCGGTACAATTTTATAATTCAAAGTTCCATCCCTGATGGAGTGTCAGCTGTAAAAGATGCCGAGAAACAAACAGCTGATTGCTCTTTGTTTAATAAACATACCTTCAAGTCAAACCACTGATTTTTCAAACCATCCAAAAGTTATTGGCAAAAACCGTTTCATGCAGCTTGTCAGTACTAAATTCACGTGTAATGGTAAGCCAACAGATATGGCAGCGCTATTCAGCACTGTCATAAGGTTGGTACCAAGGTGTATTAAACAAGGTGGTGTTGGGGCGACAGCTGAGTTTTTCGCCGCGGAGGCCATTACGTCAAAATGATGTGTTTGTTGTAATTCATACCAATGACAGTATGGACATCAGCGTATAATTTGTTAGTGTAATTTTTTACTTATATACGGCCAACACCACCTTGTTAAATACGCCTTGGTTGGTACTACTGCCAACCTAAAAACAGTTATTTTCTTTCACTTGAGCTAAGGCGTCTTTTTTTGGAATTTGATTGATTCATTCGCGAACCACCATTCCACTAACTCGGACGAAGAATAAAGTAAATTAATTTTTTAAAGTAAACCATTGTATTTCGTTTCAAGCGCCAAGTAGTTACCGCGGGTGTAATTAACTCAAGCCAATTTAATAAAGAATAATTTATGGCCAACGAGGAGCCTTTGGGGCTAATAAAAAATAAATTTGCGAAGCACTCTAGCAAATGCCTTGCTAAAACCCATCTGGACGGTACCGGCATAGCAGCGGCCAGCGGAGCACCCGTGCAGAATATAGCACGCGGATCTACACCACCTAAGCGGGTAAGAGTTGTGTGCGTTGGAGCGGCGACATGGCGACCGTGACGGTGAGCGTGGCCAGGAGGAAGAAGTTTTTTTTACACCCTGGACGGCAGGCGTGTCCGATGTGCTTCTGGTGCGGCAAGGTGCTGAAGTCGGNAGGAAGAAGTTTTTTTTACACCCTGGACGGCAGGCGTGTCCGATGTGCTTCTGGTGCAGCAAGGTGCTGAAGTCGGTGCACAAAGTTTTATTGCGGTAGGCAATAACGGGGTGCTGTACAACGTCACCCGTATAGCGCCACATAAAACGCCACGCTGCCTCTTTGTCACCTGCATTTTTGCACATAACGGGAAGCCCTGCCACCACCAACGACAGCAGTACCTAATAACGCGCATAACGCCGCACGTAACGGTGCGTAAAACGGCATGCTGCAGCGTTACCAACTGCGTGGGATACAGCGGAAAGCCCTGCTGCCACCAACAACAGCAGCAGCGGCACCACATACTGATACACATTTATATAACGGCGACTGACGCCAGATAAGCGGTACAGCACCGCCATAAACCGTTATGCGCACAAACCCACGATAACGGATTACCACAACACCAGCAACAATAGAGAAACGGGAAACACCGAACAATAAGACTGCGGCGAGGGAAGTTAATTGGGCAACTTTTTGTACAGACTGCGGCGAGGGAGTCAGACAGTTCGGGTGACCTAAGTAACCATACATATATATATAATTTTTTTTTCTCCACATTTAACTTTAAATATTAAAGGTGATTTAAAACATTATTTAAAATTTCTATAAATTAAAAACATTTCTTTGCGCTACACAATTAGCTCCACTCGTGTATTCAGAACTAGGGAATAACGTATAAAAAGAAACATTTTTCTTGATGAATTCTTATTTGTGAACAAAAATTAAACATACAAAACAAAGTTACTTCAATTTAACTATGAAGCAAAATATTTGCTATGTGGAAAATTAAGATAGTTTTCAAACGAAAAAAAAACCTAGTTAGTGAAATGAATTTTGAAAAGGGTTTTTTTGCTCATACATAAAATAAAAAAAAAAAACAAAAAAAACGCTAACGTTAAGCGGCCTCGTTAAAAAAAAAACGCGAATTTACTAAAAGCTAAAGCTAAATTTGCGGCTCGATTCTACTTTTAAACTATCATTAACTCAAATGACCTCTGAAATTCAGATTTTCAATCAATAATAATTTGAAGTAAGTGATTCAACCACTATAATTCTTTTTCAAAATTCATATTAGACTATAAGTGACTTTTTTTTCATACAACTAATTAATTCATTTTTATATACATTTTTCATACATTTTCATAATTAGATTTAAGTGACGTAAATTTAAATACCGTTAGATTCTAAGTGACGTGAGTGACTCATTGAATTACAAAGTTTTTTTTTCCTACTTTTGCCAAAATACGATTTACTAAAGTAATCGAAATTTAAATACATTGTCAATATAACCGACATTTATACCATATTCCTATGTACTTGTGACAATACATTTTTATATAACCAAAATTAAAACTTTTCCATAGATATATGCATTATAACATTTAAAAAAAAAAACTTAAGCTCTTTTGCCTTGCATGTGAATATAACCCTATATTCTCACTGCATGAAAACAACCCTATTTTTGCATGCAAATTTTCAGTTGATGACCTAATGAAAAAAACATAAGTATTTTTTAACAGTTCGATTTTTTTAAATATTTTTATTTGAACATGGTGAGTGATAGCTTGTTGCGTAAGTTTAGGCCTCCACTTCTTTGAGATTAGCCGGTTATGAGCGAATTCGACAAACAATTTAAAGCATATAAAGCAGATTTTGATAAAATTACTAAGCGAATTGTACAAAATATACCGTTATCTTCGAATGCGAAAAAATCAAACGAATACAAATATTCGCTCATTACAGCCTACAATAATATTTTACTGCTAGTTATTGGCAATAGTTCGGCTCATACCCGTGATCACAAGGAAGTGCAGGGTAAATTAGCCCGTTGCAAGGTACAGTTAGCAAAGTGCTTTAATAAACTGAATTGTCGCGTTAGGATTCCACCTGATAGCTTATCGCTAATTTGCCAATCAGACTTAGCTGACTCTGAGTCAGAAGAAGAATTTAGTGACGCCAAGTCAGAAGCTTCGGTACAATTCAGTCTTAAAAGAAGTACTTCACTTCCATCCTTTAAAGATCTGCTAACAGTATCCGACGAGCCGTCAACAGCTAGCAGTTCACCAAATATTTCTACATGTTTTCAAGAATTTCTAGACATGGCTACCACTGAACAGAAAAAATCCTTTATTAGTCTTTGTGCCTCAATAATTAGGGAAAATTACAACGGCGATCCGCTAGCACTTGAACCGTTTATCGATAAAATTAATTTAATTGAAGATTTTGCACACGAAAATTTAAATACAACTTTTATATCATTTTTGAAATCGAAGCTCGAAGGCAAAGCACGTGAAGCAATTCCAACCGAAGTTAACTCTGTTAGACAAATAAAAGATGCGTTGAGAAACAGAATAAAACCAGACAACTCGAAAGTTGTAGCTGGGAAAATTGCATCTTTACATGTCACAAGTAACAATTATACGGAATTTGCTAAGCGTGTCGAGGGGCTTTCGGACGCATTAGAGCGTTCTTTGATCATTGAAGGTATGACACAATCGAAGGCCCATGAAATGGCAGTCGAGCAAACAGTTAACGTTTGTAGACTTAATACTCGGTCGGATTTGGTCAAATCAATTTTATCGTCAACTACCTTCAGTGATTCAAAAGAAGTAGTGGCAAAAATGATAGTCGAACAAAATAATCAAGTGAAAGAGCCTCAAGTGTTAGCGTTTCGATCCCGAGTAAATAGGCCAAATAGCTTTAGAGGTAGTTTCAGAGGGCACAATTTTAATAGGTACAACAATAACAATTTCAGACAAAACAACTCAAATTTCAATAGGTACAATAATAACGCTAATAACAGTAGGTACAGCAATAACGGTTCAAGGCATAACGGTAACAATTTCAACAATAATAGTAATCGGTCATCAAACAACAACAATCGAAACAATAACAGTAATAGACGTTCAAATTCACGCAGTGATGCTAATGTGCGCGCTTTAAACGCCCACGCCCCTCAGGAGCGAACACTGTGGGCGGAAGAAATGGACAACTAAATACTTCTTTTTCAACAAAAGGCATATACTGTCTAAATCTAAATTACTCTGATTTTATTGAATTGCGAATTAATGGTTCAAAAAAATTTTGTACGTTTTTAGTCGACACGCAAGCCGACATTTCTTTAATAAAAATTTCTAGCATTGATAAACATTTTTCTATAAATACGAACGATATAATTAACATTACGGGCGTCACTTCAAACACCGTTTCAACTCTAGGTAAAATTACGACGAATTTGACTTTTTCGGACTGTTTTACAAAACATACGTTACATGTGGTTAATGACGATTTCAACATCCCTGCAGACGGTATATTGGGTAAAGACTTTTTGAAAGTAAATAAATGCGTTATCAGCTATGCAAGCAATTGCATTTCCTTCTCGCGATTCCGATTCTTCACGGAACCGAAAGCGATACCTGCGTAATTCCACCCAGATGCGAAGTTTTTCGTCTTTTTAATTAAGGAAGTTCCCCAGAACCACTTTTTGTGGATTCACAAGAAATTGATAACGGTGTATTCACGGCAAGATGCATCGTTAGTACGAGCAACCCAATAGTCAAAATCATAAATACCACAGATGATGTGAAACATGTAAAGAATGTAAACATTCAGACTGAAAAACTTTTGAAAAACCAATTCTCCACAGAAGCTAATAGCAAAAAGGTCAAGTACCTTTGCATCAAATATGCCGACATTTTCGCTCTTGACAATGACAAAATGGCATTAAACAATTTTTATGAACAGAAACTTAGGTTGACTGACACTGATCCGGTATATGTAAAAAATTATCGTCTACCATATTCCCAACGTGAAGAGATAACTCGTCAAGTTAATAAATTACTAGATAACGATTTAATTGAAGGAAGTTATTCCAATTACAATAGTCCTCTAATTTTGGTTCCTAAAAAGTCTACTAATGGTCAAAAAGCATATCGTATGTGCGTTGATTTCCGCGCAGTCAACAAAAAACTTATTGCGGATAAATTTCCTCTCGCACGAGTTGACGATATTTTAGACAATCTTGGCAGAGCTAAATATTTTTCTACTTTAGATCTTTTTTCTGGATTTCACCAAATCCCGTTACATGAGGATTCACGTGATATAACTTCTTTTAGCACAGACCGTGGAGCATATCGATGGAAAGTATTGCCATTCGGTTTAAGTATAGCTCCCAACTCATTCTCACGAATGATGAGTATAGCTTTTTCTAGTATTCCACCTAACGTAGCATTTTTATACGTAGATGACATTATTGTCATAGGCTGAAGCGAATCACATCACATTAAAAATTTAGCGAAGGTTTTCGAAACTTGTCGAAATTTCAACTTAAAACTAAACCCCAAAAAATGCAATTTTCTTATGCCCGAAGTAACGTTTTTAGGGCACAAATGTTCGGCACAAGGTCCGCTGCCAGACGATTCAAAATTAGTTGCAATTAAAAAATATACTAAACCTACAGACAAAGATGCAGTACGACGTTTTGTCGCATTTGCAAACTATTACAGAAAGTTTATACCTAGTTTTGCAACTCTGGCAGCACCTTTAAACAAATTAAGCAGAAAAAGAGTAGAATTCGCTTGGGATGAAACATGTGATGAAGCTTTCCATGCATTACAACAATATCCAGATTTTAGCAAACAATTTATAATTAAAGTTGATGCTTCAAAAATAGGGTGTGGCGCTATACTTAGCCAAGAACAGCAAGGCTGTGATTTACCAATATGTACTTATATGTATTTAACAATGCAGAACAGAAAAAACCAATAATCTTACTAATATTATAAATCTTATCTTACTAATATTATAAATGTGAAAGTTTGTATGTTTGGATGTTAGGGAAATCATCACGCAGAAACGACTGAACGGATTTGCATGAAATTTTGTACGCAGATAGCTTATGGGCCAGATTGGTTAATAGGCTTTTTTTTTTTGCGGGAACGACTGAATAGATTTGCATGAAAATTTGCACACGGATATCTTATGATCTACAGTGGAAAATAGGCTAATTTTCTTAAGAGTTGCCACCTGTTAAAAAAGTTTCATTAAATTAATACGCGGAAGCGACTGAATGGATTTGCATGAAATTTTGCAAGCAGATAGCTTATGACCTACAGTAAAAAGTAGGCTAATCTTTTGGAGGAGTTGCCACCTGTTAAAAAAATTTAAATAAATTAATACGCGGACACGACTAAACGGATCTGCATGAAATTTTGCACACAGATATATTATGACCTAGGTAG